TGATTACTATAGCTATGTAGTATAACTTGAAATAATAATTGTGATACCTCTAGCTTTGTTTTTCTTTTTCAAGATTGCTTTGGCTTTGTGGGGTCTTTTGTGATTCTATATGAAGTTTAGGATTGTTTGTTTCAGTTCTGTGGAAAATACTGTTGGTATTTTAATAGAGATTGCATTAGATGTGTAGATTGCTTTGGGTTGTATGGACATTTTAACAATATTTGTTCTTCCAGTCCATGAGCATGGAATATCTTTCCATTTGTTTGTGTCATCTTCAGTTTTTTTCATCCATATTTTACAGTTTTCAGAGCACAGATTTTTCACCTCTTTGGTTAAGTTTATTCCTAGGTATTTTATTATTTTTAATGCAATTATAAGTGGGATTGTCTTCTTAATTTCTCTTTCTGCTGCTTCATTATTAATGTATAGCAATGCAGTGGATTTCTCTGTACATTAATTTTGTATCTGTTAACTTACTGAATTCATTTATTGGTTCTAGTAGTTTTTTGGTGGAGTGTTCAGGGTTTTATATGTGATCTGAAAGTAGTGAAAGTTTAACTTCTTCCTTACCAATTTGGATGCCTTTTATTCGTTTTCCTTGCCTCATTGTTATAGCTAGGACTTCCAGAACTATTTTGAACAAAAGTGGTGAGAGTGGACATCTGTGTCTTGTTCCTGACCTTAGGGGAAAAGCTGTCAGTTTATCACCATTGAGTATGATGTTAGCTGTGGGTTTATCAAATATGACCTTTACTCTGTTACGGTATGTTCACTCTATCTCTACTTGTTGAGGGGTTTTATTGTGAATGGATGTTGTACTTCGTGAAATGCTTTTTCTGCAAGAATTGAAATGATCATATGTTTTTTATCCTTTCTCTTGTTGATGAGATGTATTATGTTGATTGATTTGCAAATACTGAACTAGTTTTGCATCCCAGGAATAAATCCCCCTTGATTGTGGTGAATGAATTTTTTAATGTGTTGTTAGAGTTGGTTTGCTTATTTTTTATTGAGGATTTTTGCATCTGTTTTCATCAGAGATGTTGGCTTGTACTTCCCTATTTTTTAGTGTCCTACCTGGTTTTGGTATCTGGGTAATGCTGGCCTCATAGAATGAATTTAGCAGTTTACCTTCCTTTGTTTATAATTTAGAATAGTTTGAGAGAAATAGGTATTAAGTCCTCATTAATGTTTGGTGGAATTCACCTGTGAAGCTATCTGCTCTTGGGCTTTTGTTTGTTGGGAGTAATTTGACTACTGATTCAATATCGTTGCTGGTAATTGGTGTGTTCAGATTTTCTGTTTCTTGGGGTACCTGGGTTGCTCAGTCAGTTGAGTGTTTGACGTTAGCTCCTATCATGAGTTTGTGAATTCAAGCACCACATCGGGCTCTTTGCTGTGACGCCTGTCAGTGCAGAGCCTGCTTTGGATCCTCTGTCCCCCTCTCCCTCTATCCCTTCCCTGTTTATGCTCTCTTTCTCAAAAAATAAGTAAGGCATACTTTTTTTTTTTCTATTTCTTTCTGATTCAGCTGTGGGAAGTTACAGGTTTCTAGGAATTTATGCATTCCTTATTGGCAGTTGTCCAGTTTGTTGGCATTTAATTCTTCCTAATATTCTCTTGCAATTGTTTGCATTTCTGTAGTGTTGGTTGTTTTTTCTCCTCTTTCATTTCTGATCTTATTTGAGGGCCTTCTCTCCACCTTTTTTTTTTTTTTTTTTTGATGGGTCTGGCTAAATGTTAATTTTGTTGATATTTTCAAAGAACAAGCTCCTGGTTTCATTGATCTGTTCTATAAAAATAAAATTATTTTTAGTTTATATTTGCTTATTTCTGCTCTAATCTTTATTGTTTATTTTTTCCTTTTGTTGATTTTGGGTTTTGTTTGTTGTTCTTTTTCTAGCTGCTGTAGGTGTAAGGTTAGGTTGTTTATTTGAGGTTTTCTTGCTTCCTGAGGTAGGCCTGTGTTACTGTAATCTTCTCTCATAGAACATTGGCTGCATCCTAAAGGTTTTGGAAAGTTGTGTTTTCATTTTCATTTGTCTCCATGTGTTTTTAAATTTCCTCTTTGATTTCTTGATTAGCCCATTCATTGTTTAGTAGCAAGTTATTTAACCTCCATATTTTTGTGCTGTTTCCAGATTTTGTTGTTGATTTCTAGTTTCCTAGTGTTGTAGTCAGAAAGGATTCATAGTGTGACTTTGATCATTTTGAATTTGTTGAGACTTGTTTTGTGGCCTAATATGTAATCTGTTCTGGAGAACGTTCAATGTGCACTTGAAAAGAATGTGTAATCTGCTCTTTTTGGGTGGAATGTTCTGAATATATCTGTTCAATCCATCTGGTCCAGTGTGTCATTCAAAGCCACTGTTGCCTGGTTGATTTTCTGCATAATCCATCCATTGATGTAAGTGGGGTGTTAAAATCCCCTATAATTATTGTATTACTATTGGTTGCTTCCTTTATGTTTGTTATTAGCTGCTTTAGGTATTTGGGTGCTTCCATGTTGGATGAGTAAATATTTACAATTTATATATATATATATATATATATTGGTGCCTGGGGGCTCAGTTGGTTAAGTGTCTGACTCTTGGTTTTGGCTCAGGTCATGGATCATGAGTTGAGGCCCTGTGTCATGAGTTCAAGCCCTGTCTGCTGTCAGCACAGAGCCTGCATGCGATGCTCTCTCTCCCTGTGTCTGCCCTTTCCCTGCTTATGCGCACTTTCTTTTTCTCTCAAAATAAATAAACTAAAAAAAAGAAGACTTGTTATATCTTTTATTGGATTCTTTAGTTTATGATTATATAGTGTCCTTGTCTCTTATTGTAGTCTTTGTTTTAAAGTCTTTTTTGTCTGAGGGGCACCTGGCTGCCTCAGTCAGTAGAGCAAGCAACTCTTGATCTTGGGTTTGTAAGTTCAAGCCCCATGTTGGGTGTAGGGATTACTTGAGAAAATTAAAATTTAAAAAAGTCTATTTTGTTTTATCTAAGTATTGCTGCCCTGGATTTCTCTGGATTTCTCTTCACTTCAATATTCATAACAAATCATCCTCCATCCCTTCAGTTTCAATCTCTATGTGTGTCTTTAGGTCTGAAATGAGTCTCCTATAGGCAGCATAGAGATGGGTCTTGCTTTTTCCTTCCCCTATGTCTTTTTTTTTTTTTTTTTACCTTTTGTCTTTTGCTTGGAACATTAAGTCCATTTACATTCAAAGCAATTATTGATAGCTCTATACTTATTGCCATTTATTACTTGCTTATGGTTGTTTCTCTAGTTCTTTTCTGTGCCTTTCTGCTCTCAAGATTAGTTCAGGGACAAATGGGGACATGTGACTTAGTTCTGGTCAGTTGGATGTGGGGATAAACAATGTAAGCTGGTAGCAGACTAGGTCTTTCAAAACATCCCGTAGGAGGCCGAAATCTTCTCTCTGTCACCCTTGGCATCCAAGGATGGCTGCCACATCGACATTAGACTTGCATGAGCAAGAAGTAAACCTTTGTTTTCCCTGGTTTACTGGCGAGGGAACAGAATCACAACGTATTGTACTAATCATGGTAATACTGTTTCCCAGTACTCTGACCGCCCTGAGGGCAAGAATGCTGACTTACTCATTTGTAGCTTTTAGTCTAGGAACTGGAAGGAGTATATTTGTCAAGTGAGGGAGGAGATTGTTATGGTAATTAGGAGCATAGAATCCAGGGAAATGCTTTCTTTCATTTCTTTAAGATAAGATATGTTTGAATATGATCATAGGTGAAGGAAATGAATGAGTGGCGAGGGAGAGGATAAAGTTACAGAAAGAAGGATCTTCAGGGGCAGGTAGAAGAGTAAGGCCTGGAAGCCCTAATAAGAATGTGAGAAGGAGGAGCCTGGGTGACTCAGTTAAGCATCTGACTTCAGCTCAGGTCATGATTTTACTGTTTGTGAGTTCGAGCCCTGCATCAGGCTCTCTGCGCTCAGCCCAGAGCCCGCTTTGGATCGCCTGTGTCCCTCTCTCTCTGCCCCTCCCAGGCTTGTATGCTCTTTCTCCGTCCCTCTCAAAATAAATAAATAAAGTTAAAGGAAAGGTGGGAAAATAGTTTCCTCTCTTTATTTGATTGTATGGAGAATAAGGAGGAGTAAGGATTCAAGTGATGGCTTTTGGGGGAGAGCTTGTTGTCTTGAAGACAAGGGAGGTGGAAAAGAAAGAGCATCAAGAGAAGAGATGAAGGTGGAGATTCCAGGTATTGACAGAAGATAATAGTATATATTGCCTATCTTGCACCAAATACTTTGTTGGAGCACTCACAAATGTCTCATTTAATCCACTCAGTAGTCTGTAAAGTACTTACTGATATCACCACTTTTCATAGATGAAGTAGCCGACTCCTCGAGGTGAAGTAATTTATCAAGGCTGTACAGCTAGTTAGTGGCAGAGCCAGAGTTCAGGTCTGATCCGTCAGACTCCTTGCTGGTCTACGCTAGAGTAATGTGATGGGAGAGATCCAAGGCACTTCATCATGACCGCTGTCTTGGAGAATTTAAATCAGGTCGTCTGTCAGTGCCCTTCATGTCACCTATGTCCAGGGATAGTAATCTGTCAATGAATGTGCACTCAGTACCTTCACACAGACACTGAAAGAGTTTTAACAAGGTTTAAAAATGGAGCAAGTAAGCCAGTCCACTAACTGTTATAGAAAAGTCAACTCACAAGTTTTTAACAATTTGGGTTCATGATATTAAGCGATTTGAATGGCTGGTTGTTCAGGTGTGACTCAGGTGCAACCTCCCTGATGTGAATACCAATGATGAGGGAATTAAAAAAAGTGATATGAAACTTTCACTATGTGAGCAGTTGCATTGTCATCTTATCATTTTTAGAACTATCTTGATTCTCTCGAGGATGTAAGCATACATTGCATGACAGTGAGAAACTTACCAAGTCATGGATTTGAGGCTGAGTTAAAGTTTAGGAAAACATTTATTATCTTGATGTATTAAGATCACCTCAGAGTCTGAAATTGTATATCCAAAGTTATGTTGGTTTTAATAGGTTATATTTTCTAAACACAAGCCATACATTATTTCATAGTAAATTTCAGAAGTAATATTTAAAGTAAGACTTTTGAATGACATAAAATGAATATTGCTAGTGACATTTGCACCCATTCTGGGAAGCTGGAAGGACGATGGTGGAAGAAGTTCAGTACAGATTTCCTGGAAGATAATTGAAACATCACAATGAGCTCTATTCAGCAATGGAAACTGATAATAGATTATGAAGTTAAAGTAAATGAACAGGATTATAAAACATTGGCTTGGCTGATGGTTTTCTTTCTCTGCCTTGGGAACAGTCTGTCTTCCTCCCACAAGGCACTGCTTGCTCACCCGGGGTTATTAATGAGATTCAGATTAAAGTGGCCCACGTAGTCCATCCTTATGCACTTCCACAGCTGCCCACTAAAAGGGACCATTTCCGCTCCCAAGAACACACTTTGACCAGATGAGTTCTCTGGGCTGGCAATGAGGAGCCTGAAATTAAGTCCTCCATCAGAAACAACCTCAGGCTGCTTGTAGTCCAAGTTCCAGGAAAAGCCTCAGCTGAAGCCACCCTTGGACTGCCTTCCGATCTGCCAATCAAAAGAAATGTGTAACATTCCTGTAGTCTTGGAGACGAGTCAGGGTGGGGAGCTGCAGGTAGTTACTTTGTACAAACTTGCCAATCAATCACAGCTTGCAGAAGCCCCAAGTAGATTCTCTGAGCCAACCTAATAATTGGTCATTTAAAAAGACTCTCAAAGGTCATGATTGGGTCCCGCCAAATGTAACGGACACCTTGCAGATACTGAATGGTCAAAACTGTTACTATTCTGTTGCTATGGGTGCTGTACAATTATGATTGGTGCTTATGTAATGATGCAAAATGTACAACGTGTGCACGGTAACACCCCCGCCCTTCCCCCATAAAAACCCTGCTCGCCACTGTTCGAGGCTTCACCTTGCTGCTGCTGCTGCGCTGGGAGATGGGTGAGCCCCTGCTGGAGCTTGTAATAAAGACCCTTTTGTTCTTGCATCGGTGCCGGCTCCTTGGAGGTCTCTGGGGACTCACGATTCGGGCATAACAGCAACAGGACTGAAAATGGCCAAAAAAGCCTTTATACATTTTATGGCTTAGAAACAGGATCCACGTAACAGGGGTAAATCGTCTTTGAATCCTAAGCAATCTCTTAGAGGGATTGCAGGTATTTTGGGCACCGTGCAACTTCATTATAAAGAGACAGAGAGCTGTCCTTATTTTAACATCTGCCTCCCTTTGCTGTCTGAGCCTTAATTTCTTCAACTTCAGTCTTGCTTCCTGGAATTTGAGTTTTGATGCTTGCTTGGTTAGTTTTCCATTGACAGATTGAGATAGCGTTCTAGAAATGTGCCACATGCTCCAACCGTGCCGATTCTGAGATTCCCCTGACATGAGTGTCATCTGTCCCTTCTCCTCTTACTTGTGCTCATTTAAAAACTGATAATTCAACATCGCAAATATGTATCAAGAACCCACCACATCCCTGCTGATCTCTGCAGGGCATCCAACACATCTGAGTTAAACAGTCCTTTTAGAGTTTTTATCAACAAGCTTGTATTTAGAAATTAAGTAGATCTTCCTTTAGAACTACAACTGATTAATACAATCTAATATACTTACGAGTGTTCTTACAAATCTTTTAAACACTGTGATAATTGGTAGTATTTTTTTTTATTATTAACTCTGTAGTATAGAGGAACAGTACAGACTTGGAAATGTCCGGCTTTATCCATGGCCACCAGGTCCTTGTGTTCTGTATTTCAGCCACGATGATCTCCTTTCAGCAGCTCAAACAGGCTGTCTTTTCCCATCTCTGGGTTTTATTTTATTCATCTTAGAGATTTCTTTCTCTGAAAAGACTTCCCTGACCTTCTCTCTGTCTTTCAGATCTGATTTTTGTTCCCCTAATTTTTCATCTGGCCCCATGCTGCCCCCATCATAGACTTTATCACTGTGTACTATGACTATTTGATTTGTTTTCTGCCTCCCTCATGATTCATAAGCTCCATGAAAGCAGTACCTACTTCAGTTTTATTCTCTTCATTATGCCTCCCATCACAGCAAATACCTACTACTGGTAAATAGTCATTAAATATTGGGAGATTGAGTGAATGTAGAAAATGACGTAGAAAATGACCTGTGTTTGAGCCCAGGTCTTGCTACTCATTGGCTTTGTCAGTGATAGTTTCCTCATCTATAATAGTGTTGAAGATACCTTGCCCTGATCAGAGAAGATAGTATAGGTGAAATTGCTTGCATTTCATAAAGGTGTTACATATTTCTCAGTCTTCTTAATGGTGCTCAGATTCCATTTGCAACATGTTAATTTCTACTACATTTTATGTTGCTTTTAAGACTTGCCTGAGATTTTTTTCATATGCAACTTTTCTTCTTCTCTACAGAAATTATAAGCCATAGAAGATTTCATTTATTTGTTTTTCTTTGTAATAGTGCCTGTCACCCCAAGAAAGTTACAGAAAATTTAAGGGAGACATTTTGTGATCAGTTAACTGGTTTCCTCTTATGATTTCCATATCAGTAAATACTCAACCAAACTGTATTTTCATCTTAAAAATATTTGTTTAACAGTTAGTATTATAAATAAATAGAAAAATATTACTTGCATTGATATCAAAATTAGATAGACTCTCATTCCAAATCCACTGATATTCTATCTCTGCTATGTGATCCAATAAAAAATTAACTATTTGATTATTTGATTTGAACAACACAGGGGTTTTCATGTGCAGTACTAAAATGCATTCTTTAAAAATAAATATGGAATTTATTTCTCAGTAAGTATCTATTACTATTAAAGATATCATGGGAAAGAGGGCATATTGAGTTAATTATGGATTTTGGCTATGGAAAATAGGTTGGATGAGACCAAGTCTCCCACCTAGAATAACTACAACAGATAGATAAAATTCATAAAAGGACAACAAAATCGTAAACAACATCCCAGCTTGTTAAATGTCTCATAGAACAAATGAACAGAGAGAACTTGTGCAGTGAAGATTTTGGAGAGAAGGAAAAGATATTGAAGTGAGCCTTTAAACCCTAATGGCTCTGTCATCAAATAATTTGTCAGTTAATATTGAGGAATATAGAGGCATTGTAGGAAATGGTGGCTTAGAGCTTGTGGCAAACTAGTGGGTCTGGAAAGATAATCACTGTAGTTCAAGGTTATCAAGGCAACCAAGTCTTGAAGTAAGACATCTGAGGATCAGTAAGCTCAATATTCCTCAAAGTCTCCCTTTAAGGAATTTACCATTTCTTAGGTTGTGCATATGAGGTGAGTGGTCAAGAAACAAGCAAAGATACTGATAGGGGGCTAAAGCCACTAAGCAGAGTTTTGTTGTTATTGTTGAAGTCTCGTGGTATGAGGAGACATCTGATCTCAGAGCTGCCTAAGAAGGAGGAGCCTAATGAGCACCCCAGTAATTCAGTTGAGATGTCTGAAGCACTGGATCCTGGAATGTAAGGGAAAACAGTAAATGGAAGAGCCTTCACAAAATCCGAACTACTACTTTGAATCATCTCAACCCCTGATTGGATCAAAGTAACCTACCCATTATCTATTTGATTTCCAGAAGAAAAATAAATCCTCTCTGGAGGTAGTAATGTCTGAAGGTTTTACATAAAGGGTCCCCATCCAAAGTTGATAGGCATGTCAGAAAACAGGACAAAATGAATGAAAGCCATGTGAAAAATATAGTAGAAATAGACTCATAAATGACCCAGATATTGGAATTACCTGATGGTCTTTAAATAATGGTAATTAATATGTTCATAGGGAGAGGGGAAATATTGAAACTATAGCCAGAAACCTGGAAAATATAAAAAAGAATCAAATAAAAATTTTAGAACTTACAATAACTGAAATTAAAAATTTAGTAGATGGATTTAATAGACATAGCAAAAGAAATGATTAGTGAATTGGAGAATAGGTTTATAGAAAATATCCATATTGAATCATCAGGAAAAATGAAGGACAAATGGGATATGGTAAAAAGATCTAACATATCAGAGTCCCACAAGAGAAGAATGAGACATACTTAAATTTGAATAGATAATGGTTAAGGATTCTAAACCAGATACAAATGTCAACACAGACTGAAAAAGGTCTACAAATTCCACAGGGAACAAAATCAAAGAAAAGCACACCAAGGCTCGTCATTAAAAAAAAAAGAAAACTTTAAAAGCATCCATTCCAAAGAAAACAAAGATGCATCATCAAAGGAATATAATAAGATTGAGAGAAGTCTTTTCAGCACAGATTATCAAAGCTTGAAGTCAACAGAAATAATTTTTAAAGCCCTTCAGAAGACATGAACAGACACTCCTCCAAAGAGAACATCCAGATGGCCAGCAGATACATGAAACGATGCTCAGTGTCCCTCCTCATCAGGGAAATACAAATCACAAACCACACTGAGATACCACCTCACACCCATCAGAGTGGCTAAAATGAACAAATCAGGAGACTCTAGATGCTGGTGAGGATGTGGAGAAATGGGCACCCTCCTACACTGTTGGTGGGAATGTAAACTGGTGCAACCCCTCTGGAAAACAGTGTGGAGGTTCCTCAAAAAAATTAACAATAGAACTCCCCTATGATCCAGCAATAGCACTACTAGGAATTTACCCAAGGGATACAGGAGTGCTGATGCATAGGGGCACATGTACCCCAATGTTCATAGCAGCACTCTCAACAATAGCCAAAACATGGAAAGAGCCTAAGTATCCAGCAACGGACGAATGGATCAAGAAGATGTGGTATATTTATACAATGCAATACTACATGGCAATGAGAAAGAATGAAATATGGCCATTTGTAGCAACATGGATGGACCTTGAGGGTGTTATGCTGAGTGCAAGAAGTCAGGCAGTCAGGACAGATACCATATGTTTGCACGTATAGGTGGATTAGGAGGAACTTAACGGAGGACCATGAGGGAGAAGAAGGGGAAAAATAGTGGGGGAGAGGGAGGGAGGAAAACCACGAGAGCCTCTTGAATGCTGAGAACAAAATGAGGGCTAATGGAGGTGAGGGAGAGGGGAAGGGGGGTGATGGGCATGGAGGAGGGCACTTGTTGGGATGAGCACTGGGTGTTATATGGAAACCAACCTGACAATAAGCTATTTAAGAAAAAAAGAAGCCCTTAAAAAGTGCTGACCCAAACATACATTTTTCAAAACTGAAGGTGAAATAAACAACAAATAACCCTGAAAGAATGTGTCATCAGTAGACAGACTCATACTAAAAGAAACACTAAAGGAAAGTGATCCCCCCAAAGGAATCATGGCAATGCAGGAAGGAGTGAAGAATGTTGGGAAATGTAAATATATTAGTAAATATATATGAATATTGACTCTCTAAGAGCATTAAAATTAGTCTTGTGTGCTTTCAAATATATGTAAAACTTAAATGAAAATTTTAACACCAATTAAAACTATAACACTAGTTATAGTTTTAAAACTAACA